GACGAAGACGATGACCATGACGATGACGATGGTGATGATGACAATGATGATGATGATGATGATGATGGTGATGATGATGATGATGATGATGTTAATTTGATGATGATGATGATGATGATGATGATGATGATGCTGATGAGATGGTGGGGATGATGATGATGATGATGGTGATGGGGATGGGGATGGGGATGATGAGGGTCATAATGCGGAAGATGAAGTGGTGGATGAGGCGGTGGACGATGATGGAGTAGAAAGGAAAGATGATGATGTTGAGGAGGAAAAGGATAATGATGACGATGATGGATTCCTGGATCATGGATGATGGATGGTGGATGGTTGATGATGACGATGATGATGATGATGACGATGATGATGATAATGATGATGATGGTGACATGATGGTTTTATCCGGATGCTGGTGAGGGTGATGATGGTGATGATGGTGATGATGATGATGGTGGTGATGATGATGATGATGATGACGATGATGATGATGACGATGATGATGATGATGATGATGGCGAGGATGATGATGATGATGATGGTGATGATGACGATGATGATGACGAAGACGATGACCATGACGATGACGATGGTGATGATGACAATGATGACAATGATGATGATGATGATGATGATGATGATGATGATGATGATGATGACGATGACGATGACGATGCCGATGCCGATGCCGACGCCGACGCCGACGCCGACGACGACGACGAGGAGGACGAGGAGGACGAGGAGGAGGAGGAGGGGGAGGAGGAGGATGAGGATGAGGATGAGGATCATAGTGTGGAAGATGAAGTGGAGGAGAATGAAGTGGAGGAGGATGATAAGGTGGAAACCAGAAAACAAGGAAACCAGGAAACCGGGGGAAAGGAAACCAGTAAATCAGGAAACCAAGGAAAGGGGACCAGGAAGCGAAGAGACTAGGAAACTTGGAAAAACTATACCAACAGACGGCCTTCCTGCTGCTAATGGCACTTTCATGGGAAAAAAATTGACTAAGTATCACTAATCATATTGACAATAATATAATATAATATAATATAATATAATAAATATAGCATAATATACAATAATCATAGTACATTAGTACATAACATGGCGTCCAATGACGCAGACATCGTGTACCGTTGCCTGCTGTGCTTTCACAGCAGGGTCAACATACTGTTTGGCCATGGTCCTCAGTCCCAGCTGCCAGACTTCGGCAGGTTTGGATAGCGAGGATGTCTGACGACTCGTATCGACTCGAGCCAAAAAAAGAGAGCACGTCAAAGCTGTTGCTGAGCTCACATCCGGCACCCCCAATCCCATATCTCATGAATTTCATCTGCAGACCCACCCCTTTCATGTTGTCACAACCACCCCGGGCACCTATGATCTTCGTAGCGCGAGTCGCAAGCCGCACCCCACTTGAGCCATTGACACAACGACACAACGAGAGCTGTCTCTTTCCATCAATGAGGCCTGTGAGCAACAAAAATGGAGACTGAAAATGCTATTCTGGTTGGTGGTTGAGCCGCCAATCTAAAAAGGGTGTGAAATAGTTTTAGGATTTTTTTTTTGAACAGGTTTGGGATTTTTTTTTGGATTTCTTGGCTGGTACCATTTGCCTCGGTGTTTGCAACGTTTTGGAACTTGAATTTGTCATTTTGCATGGTATTTGCCACATTTTGGCATGTTCACCTTCCATTTTGCATGGGATTTACTACATGTGGGCATGTTCACCTTCCATTTTGTATGGTATTTGCCACATTTTGGCATGTTCACCTTCCATTTTGCATGGGATGTTCTACATAAGGGCATGTTCACCTTCCATTTTGTATGGTATTTGCCACATTTTGGCATGTTCACCTTCCAGTTTGCATGGGATGTTCTACATGTGAGCATGTTCACCCAAATATTTACAGATGCGGAAGCTTGGGATTAGATAAAAAGCGGGTGGGGGGGAGGGTGCTAGCTATCTATCTAGCAAGCTAGCTATCTAGCTATCTAGCTAGCGATCTATCTAGCAAGCTAGCTATCTATCTAGCAAGCTATCTATCTATCTAGCTATCTATCTACCTATCTTGCTAGCTATCTTGCTAGCTATCTATCTACCTATCTAGCTATCTAGCTAACTATCTATCTAGCTATCTAGCTATCTAGCTTTCTATCTATCTAGCTATCTATCTATCTAGCCATCCAGCTGTCTATCCAGCTATCTTGCTATCGAGCTATCTATCTAGCTAACTATCTATCTAGCTATCTAGCTATCTAGCTTTCTATCTATCTAGCTATCTATCTATCTAGCCATCCAGCTGTCTATCCATCTATCTTGCTATCGAGCTATCTATCTAGCTATCTATCTATCTATCTAGCTGACTATCTACCTACCTATTTAGCTATCTATCTATCTCTCTAGCTATCTATCTAGCTACCTCTTTATCTATCTAGCTAGCTATCTATCTATCTAGCTATCTATCTAGCCATCTATCTATCTAGCTATCTATCTAGCCATCTATCTATCGAGGTATCTAGCTATCTATCTCTCTAGCTATCTATCTATCTAGCTGGCTATCTATCTATCTAGCTATCTATCTACCAAGCTATCTATCTATCCAGCTATCTATCTATCTATCTATCTATCACATGTAATCCTGTCAGCTTTCCAGAGAAGGTTAGTTCGCAAAAACCAACTAATGTAACTTGGGTTTAAGTTTAAATAAAAAAAAGCGGGAGGGGGGGATTGGGGGGAGGGCGCAGCGCCTCCCCCCAAAGCAGAATGCAAGCACCTCTTCTCACATGTTACGTTGCTAGTTTTCAAGAGAAGGTTGGTCATGTGATACTCAGGGATGTAAATACTGTGCAAAATGTATCTTACATGAAAATCAAGTATTTAAAGCAGGCAAACCAAAAAAAAAAGCAGAGAAGCAAAAAAGCAGAGAAGCAAAGAAACAGGAAACGCACAAAAGCAAAACAGCAGAAAGGCAAAGAAGCAGGAAAAGCAGAAAAGCAGAGAAGCAGGAAAAGCAGGAAAAGCAGAGAAGCAAAGAAACAGGAAAAACAGAAAAGCAAAAAAGCAGAAAAGCAGAGAAGCAGAGAAGCAGGAGAAGCAGAAAAGCAAAAAAGCAGAAAAGCAGAAAAGGCAGGAAAAGCAGGAAAGCAGAGAAGCAGGAAAAGCAGGCAAGCAGAGAAGCAGGAATCCAAAAATAATTCCTAAACCTGATCAAAAAAAAATCCTAAAATAATTAGCCCTCCATCCAAAAATATTCTCCTCATATCAACCAATCATCCCAAGTATGGTTGAAAAACAATAAATATTTGAAACATATTGAAATTTTGAAACCACCAACCAGTACTGAACGACTTCGAGACACTTCATTTTCACTTGGCGGCTCCCTACGACTCCAGCAATGCTTTGCTCCTGCTGGGCCCCGTGCCAGAAACGTCAACACTTCGTTGGCGCAAAAAAAACCAGCTGACTTTGTGTCAGTACAATGCAACCACTATACGCCACGGAAGCAGAGACAATTGATTCACACATCTTCTTTATGGTCTTCAAGAGTTTGTTTGAAAATATGGTATCCCCCCCCCCAAAAAAAAAAACTAATTATCTTCCCAAAATCTGTCGTTCTTGGGGTGTACGGTATATGGCATACCTTGTTTTCAGACAAACCCGATGTCGATCACTGGATCAAAAACACAGCTATTACCACCCAGGAAGTGATGGGCGGTTGCTTCCGAAGACAACAGCAAGCCACACAATCGCAGCTGTCTGCCGTCCGAATTCGACTAGAGTCACCCATCAGCAACACTAGTGCAAGTTGACCGTTGAAGCTGAGTGATAGTCACACCATACACAAGTAATTTCTTGGTGGAATCATGTGGAATATTGGATTCTGCGAAAACAAAACCAACACTTCCGAAGTGCGACTGAAATTCCTTCCAAGTTCAAAGGGCCAACGTCTATTGGAAGAGATGCGCAGGGAGGCAGACCAATGCCATGCGCGCAAGGTCGCGCGGCTCGCGCTTCGCTGCATCCGCTTGAGGATTGCAGGCGCGGGATCAAAGTGACAAGTCTGTACAATATAATCAGAAATCAACACATTTTCGCCTCAAAGGCTTTCAGCGAAGCATCGACTTATGGTTCTCTTGGGGTTCTAGCAATGGCATCGTTTGGGAGCCCGGACAGCGAGCAGTCAGCCGAGTTCAACACCTGGAAAATCTGGGCAATTCATCAACCTGCCTTGATTTTGCAGATCTGCCATGCTGATCTTTGGCGAACCCTTGAGCTTGCCTTGAACCTAGACACATCGGCGACCTTGGGGTCGGCGCTTTCTCAAGCTCAAACTTAACCGAGGACCTGTCACCACATCCCCAACAGGCTACGCAGCTTGCCGGGTCGCCACACAGATCGCCCACTTTTGAGTTCCCCTGGGGCAGGTCGTCATCGGCTATCTGCGAAGTGCGACCTGTTGAAGGTTTTATTGTTGAAAACATCCTCCAAGCGACCTTTTGCTAAGTCAAGGTGCCTGCATTGGTGGGGCATTTAAGGCCGCCTTGCAGCCTGGCGCAGAGGCGCCATCAGGCATGTCTCCGGCTGCTGCACTTCCACAAAACACTTTAGATCTATCAACCTACCTATATATATATATATATATTCATCATATTCAATCATATATTCATCATATTCAATCATATTCATTTGTCTATATGACTGACGCATTGGGATTGACTGAATAGGCTCCATGGATTGAATTGTCGTGTTCTTGTTCTGCTGTCGTCACCAAGCCCTTCAACCACTGTCGGAGACCTTGCCTCAAGCGGCCCTGGAGTGGGCCTTCGCAAGTGAAATGATTCGAACCCAGACATCTACAGAGAATCATCATATGTCACAATCTTGGACATTCATTGACATTCATGACAAAATGATACAAAATGATAGAAAGTGGCCGTCAATAAGGGACAAACCGCCATCGCTAGATGGCACTAACATGATGGTTGCGCATGTGCTAAACTACTTGGACAACGGCTCCCAGTGACAACGCTTCCCTGAGGAATGCTCCTGCCTTCCTGCCCTCTGCTTCGATCCAGCCGGCAACTACTCTGCCATACCTAACAAGGGACATGCCAAACAACCGCATACTCTTCCGGTGGCGAATGGCGCTCACTCATCCCTGCCTTGAAACTTTGAGGGATGGCAGTTCAGCACAGAGCAAGTCTCACGGATTCAGCACGCGTGACACCGTCATGATCTCTCAACTGTTCAATGCTGGTAATCTAGAAAACGATCTACAAAGTAAGGGAAGAGATGTAGAAAGTATGCTGCGCATCTTTTAGGCAAGGCAGATGAAGATGCCTCTAGCACAACCCATTCCTCTGCCTCATGAACGCAATCTCTGCCAAACCAGGTACTCAGGCAACCATTCTAGGAAAAAAACGACAACAAAGTCCGTAACGGCAACAAAATATTATTCTATTCCAACACGAATAAAATGTGGCTGTTTTTAGTCAATATTGTAATTCTGACATTTGGAACTTCACAAAGCTGAAAAGCCTTGACCATTGTCTTTAGATCGATTGGAAAACAAACAATATTGCAAGGAACTCAAATGAAGACAAACATCTGAACAAGCATCAAAAGTTGCAGTCAATGGCTTTGGAATTGATGCTGAATCCGATCTTGCCTCGGGCTTTCGCGCGGTTGGGGCCATCAAGTGCCTAGCAGGATTGGCGCCATCTGTGGCCATCTGTTAGCGAGCAGGAACAGGCGCCACGCCTGAAGAATCAGCCGCACTGCCGCATGTCCATGGCGAGCGTGCGCCTTGGCATCAGGGAGTCACTGGACCTTGAGCACTGCCAAAGATCTCTGAGAATCAGGCCATGAAAGTCAGCAGCCCATCTTCCTTGGGGTAAATCTGACTCTGACCGCCTTGCACTCAGCATACACCTATGATAGCACATCCAACACATCCAACACATCCAGTCCTGAACTATAGCTTTAGCCAAGGACATCGTGTCCTCGTGAGACAGCTTGGTCCTTGGGGCGAAAAAAACAATCTGCACGGCCTCCTCTGCGACTTTCACTGGGGTACCCCAACAGGCGCTTGCCACAACGGCGCTTCCAAAGGAATCCTCCAGGCAATTTGTTCATCCGTTTCGCGTGGAGGAACCAACGGAAATGCAGTGGGCAGTAGAAACCTGGGGGAGGATTGGACCTATCCAATTTGGGGTACCCACAAAACAGCAACGAATGGATGAAGTCGATAGCATCGAATCTAGCCTGGCAGATGGGAGCCACATTCAACCTGAGCTCCTGGAAGCGGTACCAATGGACCCGCGGCTGGTCATTTATAGCATTTGACCCTACTCATTTTGAGACATCTTAATAATCCAATTTTATTTAACTCCAACTTTGAAGGAAAGAAATCTTGAGTCAGAGTCATAGCCCTAATTGTTCTTTTTTGCTTTTGCCATGGACAGCTCTTCCGACAAATCCACTGGCTCGATCGCCCATCTAGGGGTTTTGACAGTTTTGACATGTTTTGACTAAATCTCGAAAATCAAGGGATGACGCAGAAATCCTGGCATGATTGGCTTGCTCGTTTTCAACCAGCTGTTTAGGGAGCCTCAGCCAGCCGGCCCCGTTGAGACGGGTTTCCATGCTCCAGCAAATTCTGTAGGACCTTCAGTCGGCATGCGAATGGCATGCCGGGAGCGATCAATAAACCCTGGCTGATTCAGGGGAAGAGTGATCAATCGCCGCTGAAATGGCCCAATCCCAGGCAAACAGCCCAGATTTTCGTTCGAATAGCAGTTGACACTAGTGAATACAACCAGGGGAAAACATCAGCAAGGTCACACTGCAACGCTTTTCGCCGCATCCTCCATGCCGTTTCGCTTTTTTCGCCCAGCGGCATAGTTGCCGTAGGGATGTCTGGCAATGCTGCTGACGTCCGATAGAATCGCCGAAGCCATCCCTTCGACCTGCTGTGGACACTGCTCAACAAGCCTGGGCAGATGGCATGGGCACTGGCTGAGTTTCCAAAGACCTTGGGGTCTTAGGATGTCTTGGGAACCTGTGGAACCTGTTCTGTTTACGATTCTTTCACTCATGTTTCTGTCCTGCCACAAACGCGCCTCTGAATGATGCGGCACCCAAACTTGTGACGAGCAGCCTTGGTTTTCAACTGCATCATGCTGCACTCGCTGAAGGCACGTGCGGCTGCAAAAAAAGATACACTGAAGGCCGACATGGCAAAATGCAGCAGATTTTCTAAACCAAAGGACACACCTGATTCTACAAGCAGACGAAAGCCTGCACCAGCTTCGCAACATACTTCCGTTGTCCTGGCGGCCCTACTTGATGCATTGTAACATTGTAAGAATCTAACCCCTTCAGGCTCCAACCAGCTCCGCAAAACCATGACAAGCCATAATCTCATCAACGATGAACTGGCAATCGTGAGGCCTCAGGATTAACGGTTGGCGAAGACTCCAATGGCTTCAGCTCCGCCTCTTCAGACACCATCATTTACATTGTAATTTACATCACTTTTCCCTGGCCTGGAACAAGTGATGCACTTCTGAAGGACGTGGTTCGCGTGCGGACATCGCATAGCATCTAGCACGTGCCCAGCAAGCTCTGTCACCAAGCGCGATCGTGTCACATCATCCGCAGCTTCTTCGATGGCACGTTGTACGTCTCGGCATCCTTTGGCGTCCTGCCAAGAAGGCAGCGAGGCTGGAAACTGCTCACCGCAGTGAGAAGCAGAAGCATGGATTGATAGAGCGGGATTCTCACAGATTATCAAAGGATGATCATGTTTGATTCCCAGCCAGGCGCGGCTTCGCAGCACACGTGCCTCAAAATGGGGAACACCACGGAATATCTGTGGATACTCAACATAAATAATTAGTAAATAAATGTAAGTAAAAAGGAACATGATGATACATCTGATAAACCTGAGGTTTCCGAAAATTCAGAGAACCCCAACGTAACCTCACGTGACATGGTCTTGAACATGTCTTCCGTGCGCCGCAAACGTTGGGGGCCTGAGAGAGCTCCCAAACTCTTCCAGTGAGCTGCAAATGACCACAACAGCCCACGGAGGTCTGATGCTCCGCCGGCACCTCCAAAATTGATGACCTGAAAGGGTTGCCAAACTAAGGGCTAAAATAATGATGGCACGTCCATATTTGATGCAAGCAGAGGCCGACCAAGTTTCAAAACGTGAATCCTACCCAACCACTTCCGTTCTTGTGTAGACACGTCAACATGTGGAGCTTTATTTTTTCAATCGTCACAGGAAACTATGGGCCTGCAAGCTCTTTGGCCTCAACTCATCATGCAATTTCGACACTCTAAACGCCAAAAAACAGTAGATATCTTCGCCCGAGCAATCCTTCAAAAACAAAGTGAGGGTTTACCTCTGGCGCTTACAAAGTCATGACTTTTTGTGACCGCCCAGCCTGGCCCCCAGCAACCTGGGCAATTCCTCCCTCGTCGGGATCTCCCTTGGGATCTCCCTCGGGATCTCCCTGGCAGTCTCTCTGGCCGATCGCTCCGCACGCTCAGCTCGAATGATGTCAGGGCTCATACAGGCAGCCCAGGCAGGGTCATCATTGACGTTGATCCTCTCGACTAAGGCACGCAGAGGAAAGGCCAAATTCATTCGGGACTGGGCGCCCGAGGCGCCCGAGGCGCCCGAGGCGCCCGAGGCGCCGGCCTTGGCCTTGGGGGATTGACGGTTCAAAGGTCGCATGGTGGACATCTCACCCATAGCTGAAGCCACAAACCGCTGGAAGGCAAAGGTACAGACCATTCTGCTGCAAGCGGAATCATGTTTTTGAGGAATTTCACTGAAACATCTCTGAAAACATAGCAGTTGGACACATTTTGTTCTTCAAAAAGCATCCAAGCATGGACCTGATTCAAGAATTCTCTCGGCCTCATGGAGGCAGTCCTTTGACAACCAAGTACCCATTTTGGATATGGCCTAAGACAATCCTTGGTTTCCGATGCTGCCCATCAGCAAAGTAAACGGAGCAATCCATCACCAATCCTTGGTTTAGAAACCCTGGCACGGAAGAAAATTGGCCGCGGATCTTTTGTGCTCTGCATCAGCAGTGCTCTGGAGTTCAAAGGTGTTCAAAGATAATCGAATAGGGATCAACATGCCTCAACAAATGCTGTTGGCTGTCATTCCCGTTGCCATTTCGGCCCAAGTGTAAACATCTGTAAATTGGCCACCACGCAGGAATTGCCCTGCAGCTCTTGTCATTGTGGATTTCTGTGAAAAGTATGGTACTCACGGGCACCCCCAAATCCCAAGGTTTGTCATCCTTTTCTGCATGGAAAATTTGCTACGTACAAATTGGGAATAAAATGTCAACCATTTTGAGACAAACGCACGTGGGTTGCAGCCGCCGGTTGCAGCCGCCACCTATATATCGATCCAGAAACCCTGCTGGTTGCCACAAGATGCCACAAGGCAAGTGCGCATGGTTGCCGTCGACTGCGCACAGATGCTTCCACTGAATTAGCTTGCACCTATGAACATGTGCACGGTCAAAACATGGGATTCATGGGGTATGGTCATCCATCTAATGGAATCCGTGTGGGCATGAATTCCTTCTAATCGATTGACCATCCAAGATGGGCCAAGTTTTGACCAGAGCACAACAATGGGATCCGAGATGATCCGAGGCACCACATAACATCCACGCCAAAGAATCACAACTCAGGCGGCCACAGGAAAGTAAGCTCCCTCTCCAAGGAGGCTCGGAATGCACCAAAGTAACGGTCAGAATCAAAGGCCCCATCCTTTCAGTATTCAATGATTACAATGTTTATTATTGATGTTTATTTATGTTTATGTTCATTAATGTTCATTAATGTTCATTAATGTTCATTAATGTTCATTAATGGTTGTTAATGTTCATTAATGTTCATTAATGGTTATTAATGTTTATTAATGTTTATTAAGTTTTATTATCTGTTTTTTTTAATGTTGCTGTCATCTAGATGACAAAAAAATGATCAAAGTGAACCTGGCAACATCTCCTGCAGCAACGCCAGCTATTTGCCACGAAGGCTCAAGAAGGCATGGCAGCGAATACATTGTGGGAACGCCTCTATCGGAAACCACTCAGACCGGGTCTGGGTCATTCATTCTTAGTGTTGAAATATTCATCCAAGGATCCGAGGAAACGGGATTCACTGAAGATTCAAAAGAGTTAGATCATGTTAGATCTCATTCTGCCTGACAAACGACCCCCCAAGCAACCACTGCGCATAGCGAAGCGACGTTGGCTCTCGCTCAAATCCTCTCCTGAGAGCGGATCCTGTCACATCATTTCGCAGGGGAAAACATGGATTGAAGGGAGTACTCATGGTGGGCAGCATGTGTGCTTGCCTAGCGTCCAGTCCAGTCGATTAGAAGATGAAAGACATCCCCATGCATGTTGTGTGCATATATGCATGTTATCATTACATATGTACATAATATATATATATGTATACGTGTACATATATATATATATATGTATGTACATTTTTGTGTAGATAGATATATGGCAACGCCTGCGAATAGATAGGATTCAATAGAAACAGATTAGATCAGAATAGAATAAGATTTAGATTTAGCTTTTACCTTAGATTAGCTAAATAGCTAGAGCAGCTAGAGAGCTAGGTAGCTAGGTGCCTGGATAGCTAGATTGATCCATCTATCTAGCCGCATTTCTCCTTGTGCACACCTGAAATCTGACGGCCGGAAAGTTCGATTCGATGACTGACCTCACTTAGTAGTTACTTAGTAGCTTTCCGGGTCTGCCATTCAGGTTCGTTCAAACGGACAACAGCAAACCATACTTGGAAACGAAGGGCGTCCACTTCCTTTCATTGTTCTTGTCAAAATCGTCGCCATTCTGTGAGTCATTCTGGGGGTCCTCATTCCTTCGGGATCTTCAGCCTTGGATGGCACACAGACTGGAAGCCACTCATCTGACATTGTGATTCAGAATCTGCAACTTGTTGCTTTTACATGTGGACTGGTGGACTGTACTGTGTTTTGGCATGTTTTGGCAATCTTGTGTATAGATGTGTGTATATTATATATATATATACATTATATAAGTGTGTAAGTGTGTATATGCGGTAAAGTTATAGACGGCAGGGACAAGTACAGGACCTACTTATCAGAAGTTGCAACTTATTCATTGCTTTTTCGATTCTGTGATGCAAACGGCCTCCCGCTTTTATCGCCCAGCAACGAAGTACTTGGCGTACTGTTTCACAGTACAGGGCATAATCCTCCTCCTAGGCAAGACATCATGCGACGAGGAAATCACTCGCGCATTATAAAGGGCATCTCAGCTCCAGACCGAAATGGCCAATTTCCATCCCAGCAAAGAGATGAAGCTAGCCTGCCAATGGAATGGGGATCATCAAACTGGCGGATTTTTCAGCCATGTTTGATCACCCAAAAGCACCAGTGGGGATGTGGATGTTGAGATTCAACTCTCCTCAAGCGCCGGCGGAAGACAAGATGAATCCTGAAATACTTGAGTTGAAAACAGCTAAAATCAGGAGGAATCTTCCGAAGCAACGTTCCCATGACCCGGCACCTCTAACTTATTCATTTCTTTCAAACTTAGGCCACACACGGCAGCGTAGTAGGCCTGCCAGAAACTGGACACCCATCATCAGTTGTGGCTTTCTGTCTAACCGTCTAACCACATCCACACTGAGAAGCCGGGCATTTTTGTAGTAAATGTCATCAAGAAACTTCACTGCAACCACCTCAGTTTTGCATCGTAATGCTGGGGGACTTAGGGTCATATCTTCACCCACAAGAATCAAGATCCCCTGTCTTTTTTCACAAGATGTCACATGGAAAGCTGCACAACGCACTTTATAACATTTTGCGACCTACAATATCACTCTTGTATCCGGTAGGAAAGTGGCTTACCCCTCCCCGTTCCCAACCAAGTCACAGTTGCAGCTGCAAGCAAACGGTGGATCGTCAATGGATTCAGATCGATTGCATTCTTGCTGACCTCAAGCTGGTCCATCCGAACAAAGGCCTGAACTTGCGTTTGTGCACTTGAAAATCAAACAACCATGGTTTTTCCGCGTGATCAATCTCCAAGACCAACAATGAAGCGACGCCAACTCTTTGAGCTTTCGGCCAAACGATCCAAATACACAAGCGCAGCAACATGCACGGATTCACCTCATTTGGGCGCACCATAGGTGATATGTCGTCATGCTGCCATACCACAATTGTGCTAGTGAACCCCCCAAACTCAATCGTTAATCGAGTCAGCAGTTGCATCACTTGCAGTAGAGTTTCACTGTTTCCGTCCATTCCTTCCCTTGAGAATCTGAGCGAAAAAGTGAAAGGGTCCTTGTCCCAGGATGTATTTCATGCCAGGAAGCTGCAAGCAAAGTACTTGTCAATGCGCTTGAGATAATCCAACACAGAAATCTTTGGCTCAACCTGCCCCAACTCCAACTCTTGGCCAAATGTCGGGGTTCTAGTTTGCGAACCTCGCAAGCATCTCATACTAGAAGTGGAAAAATCAACTGGAACGAATAGCCTGCAGTAATCAAACATGGCAATGGAAGACATGGAAGATATCCCTTTTTTACACGAGTTTCCCATCAAAACCTCCATTTATATACTTTGGTGATGTCGCAGCCATGTTTGATGACACCAGAAGATAGTTCCATTCATCACCGTTCGTCACCATTAATCACCATCAGTACCTATGAATCACCATTCATACCCACTATGAACCCCTATATAACGATTGTCAACCTATTAATCACCATGATTCAACATTTGATTCCCAAGTTTCACCCATGGCCCAGGCAACACAGCCACCAGCCAGCAATGCCTGGGACATGAAACGACTCACCCTGACCTGACGCGGAGCCGGCGACGGTTATCGATCGCGACAGATAGAGCCAAACATAAATCGGATATGTTGGTTTTAGTCATGGATTAAAATGGATTATAATGGATAATCATTCATAGATGGATAATCGTAGGTGGATAATCATAGATGGATCATACCAGTAAATGGTTTGATGGATGCATTGTGTCATCTGACATGATTTGGCTTTGGAACCTGGACATTGGGAATTTAAGGCCGCAAGTGGCCATCAAGTCTGGACTCCAAATGACTTTCTGTGTGCCAAGACCTGATGGGCGTGGGTCAAAACTCCTATCCCTCCGAAAAATTGAAGGGCGCTAAAAAGTGATTAAAGAAATGTTGGCTTTCGTGAGCTATCATCCCAAAAATTGCTGAATATCATCCCAAACAATCCGTATTTCGCTACTCCAAAAATTCCGAAGAATAAAAGAAAAACATATAGATATTATCCCGGCAAGAGGCCCCAAACAGTGTGGGGGGGAGTGGGAGGATACTGTATGATAATGTGGAGGAGGAGGCGGATGATGATGATGACGATGATGACGATGACGATGACGATGACGATGATGATGATGATGATGATGGTGGTGATGATGATGATGACGACGATGACGATGATGATGACGATGGTGGTGACGATGATGAGGATGATGAGGAGGAGGAGGACGAGGATGAGGGGGAAAATATTGCGGACGATGATGTTCAGGGTGATAATGTTGCGGAAGATGAGGTGGAGGAGGGTGATGTTGCGGAAGAGGAGGATGAGGATGAGGATGGTAATGCGGAAGATGAAGTTGAGGAAGATGAGGTGGAGGAAAGGCGGAAAGGGCCTCAAAGCATCAGTGGCAGGAAGCTAGTAGGACAAGAGCAACCCTAGTAGTGAAAAGAAGGGATACGGGGTAAGATTCTGCAAGTTCCCTTTGCGAAGATCTCTGTAGAAGATCGTGCGCGAGATCTCCTTGACGGGTTGTTTGCAGAAGCTGCTGTGCAAGATCCCTGTGTAGGGCTATCTATACAAGGTGTCTGTCCGAGATCTCCACAGAAGATCTTCGTGAGGGCAAGATCTCTGTACAAGATCTCTATAAGAGCTCTGTTGGCAAGATCGCGTGGCAAGATCTCTGTACAAGACCTCCTGGACAAGATCTCTATAAGAGATCTCTTGGCAAGATCTCTTTATTAGATCTCTGTACACTGCACAAGCTCTCTGTAAAAGCTCTCTCCGTAGAAGATCTCCACAAGAGGTCTCCTTGCAAGATCTCTGTACAAGATCTCTATAAGCGCTCTGTTGGCAAGATCTCTATAGGATCTCTACAAACCGCGGCCCTCACCTTGCGCGAGCCTGCACAGTCGAAATGCGCATCAACATTTCACAAGAGCAACTTTATATGGAAATTTACAGGAAAAATGCCGCGCCCCAAAACTGCGGCGCAGACTTTGTGCGAGCCTGCGCAGTCGAAATGCATGTCAACATCTCACAAGAGCCACTTTATACGGAAATTGACAGGAAAAATACCGCGGCCCAGCTGGAGCACCCTGATCAAGCACCGGCCTTCACTCCTACCGTAAGAACCCCTCAGTGTGGACACACTGTTTGGGGAATAATGTATATATACAATGATGTAAACAATTGTAAACATATATACGGATATACGTATTTGCCATAAATTAATTAAACAATGACATCCAAAAAAGAACGATTGGCACAGCGGCACAGCCGGAAGCCCCGGAGGCCTGTCCAGGTGCGACGCTCATCAAAGCCGTGTAGATGTCAGCCATGGCAGTGCAAAGGCCTGCAGGCGACTCAGGCCATGGCATTTGAGAAACAGAAAAAGTAAAACCAACGCGCAAACATGTAGATATTATATATATACACATATTCATATCTTGTAATAAATAATAAGATAATACAATGTTATATTTGTAATAGATATGATATAATATATAATATAATATATATATATATACAGTTCTTAATTACACAAATATTCTATATTCATATCATGGCGCTGTTCGAACACCACAGATGCCCTCTGAGGGACACACGCAAACTGTCCTGCTTTTTCAGCTCTTCAGC